TAGGCGCCCTCTTAGCCCTAGCCTGCTCCTTTCTGTAGCCTAGTTGGCCCGGGTGCCCTTGGTCTTCTCCAGCTCCCCAGCTGCTGCAGTTCCCGGCGACATGGTGACGATGGAGGAACTGCGGGAGATGGACTGCAGCGTGCTCAAAAGGCTGATGAACCGAGATGAGAACGGCGGCGGCGCAGGCGGCAGCGGCAACCACGGCGCCCTGGGGCTGCTGAGCAGCGGCAAGTGCCTGCTGCTGGATTGCAGACCGTTCCTGGCTCACAGCGCAGGCTACATCCGAGGCTCGGTTAACGTGCGCTGCAACACCATCGTAAGGCGGAGGGCCAAGGGCTCAGTGAGCCTGGAGCAGATTCTGCCCGCCGAGGAAGAAGTGCGCGCCCGCCTGCGCTCTGGTCTCTACTCGGCCGTTATAGTCTACGACGAGCGCAGCCCGCGCGCCGAGAGCCTTCGCGAGGACAGCACCGTGTCGCTGGTCGTGCAAGCGCTGCGCCGTAACGCCGAGCGCACAGACATCTGTCTGCTTAAAGGTAAACGTGGGCGCCCGGGCGCGAGCTGATGGGTAGGTGTAAGGGACTTGGCGGCCTGCTGGGCATGGGAAGAAGTACTCGAGTGACTTCGGGCTGCGGGAGTCCCCGTGAGTGTCAGTGTGCACGGTCTTGCCGTGGTTTTGAGCCCAAGTCTGGGGCTGGGGGAGTGCTGGCGTGTTTCTCCAGCCACCTGCCACCCGCACGCTTCCTAGAGTTACGTGTTTATTGACAAGAACAGCCCTGGCCTGGATGCTGGCAGCAATTGCTCTGCGCAGGCCAGCTTCGAGTGCTGAGATCGCACTCTTAAATTAAGTCCCCCAGGGACAAGAGAGGCCTGTTGGTTCGGTGTGACCCCGAGAACCCTAGAGACGGGTGAAGGAAGGTGAACGCCGAGGTGGGATCTGCCTCGAGTGTTCGTACACAATCCTGCCTTTGGTAAATGCTGGAAGGAGAATTGGGTTGCAGAGCTGGGGAGCGTTCTAATCTGTCTCCCGCTGCCCCAACTTAGAGCTTTTCTGGAAGGCGGCCAACTCTCCCTGCCCTGGGGTCCTGGAGCGGGGAGACTGGAGTGCTGTATTGGGGGACACCAGGCAGAACCGCGTCTCCTCCCGCTAATCCTGGCAGCGGAGAATCACTACCTTTTGTTCACACACCATTCTCGACTCTCTGCTGGCGGCGCGTGCCTGGTTGAAGCGAACCCTGGCCTAAATAGGCGGCCGGAGAGAAGGTGGCTTCTCAAATGTAGAAGTCAGATACCTCCAAAAGATCGCACACTGTCCTAGTCCCTGGAGAAAGGGACCGATGGCTCGCCGCACCTGCCAACCCAGCGTCTGTGCGGGCCCTCCGGCTGCGGAACCCGCGGTGAGCGCGGGGGTCGGGCGCCCCCTGCCGCGCTGCGCCCTTAGCTCCGGCCGCCGCATTCCGCGCATTCTTTCGCGCGGGTCGGGTCTTCGCTTTTGAACCCGGGAGGTATTTCGGATCCCCGGCTGCCAAGAGCCGCCCCTTTCTCTGTGGAGGCTCTTGGTCCCTTTTATTACACTTTTATTCCAGGAACCTGTCCACCGGGAGGAAGGGAGGCTGGGTGAAAAACCCTTTTCTCCGATCCCCTCGGAAAAGCACTGGGAAGCTGCTGGGTGCGGGCGAGCGGGCCCTGGGCAGCAGCGGGGGGCTTTGTTCTCTGCAGTTGTTTCCTGACCGTTTGACCCGTCAGCTGCTGGGGGAAACGCTGCTGTTGACCTGAGCCTGAACTGCTAAGGCGATTTTGCTTACTTTTCTTTCTTTTTTCACGAGGGCCGCCTTTTGCTTCTCCAGGGGAGTCCTAGTCTCTCGGGCTTTTCCCTAAATCGTTTTAGGAGCGACGGCCGGGAAGACTCGTCCCGGATCTCACGATCGCCCAGCGGTCAGAGACGAGCCCTACAGGGTACCCGGAGCCCCGGGTCAGGCTCAGGTCCCGTGTTCTTCTCTCGGAGGGGTCCTGCTTGGACCCCAAGCTGCACGTCTGTGCTATTGTTCCAGCCTGCCTGCTCTTCCCAGTCGAGATCGCGCGGGTGGGAAAGGTGACACTGTATTGGGGTGGAAGTTGGGGAACTCTCTCTGGCTGTCCTGGGTTCTTCAGCCCTTGGATTGAGAAAGCGGGGCTACACCTTCCTACTCTGGCTTCGGGAGAGTCTAACTAAGCCCCACGTGGAGTCAGGGATTGTTTTGTTTTCCTTCCTGGAAAAAAATCCGTAGGGGACCGCCCTGGAGAGGCTGCTGCTGGCCTTCGTCCTGAGCGCTTTAAGGCTTCCTTCCGGGCCGCAGGCTCCAAGACCTGGCGCACTGGGAGGGTTAAATCTCATGGCTCGCAGCACTCTGCAGTCGCTGATTGGGATCCGGAGACCCGGAGGCCAGACCAGTTCTGAAAACGCTTCAGGGCAAATACTGACGTAAGAAGGGGGGGGGGGAGCGGAATAGGACAGGTGGCCTCTGGGCAAAATGACAGTCCTCTCCGTAATGGGTGGCCAAACGCCTGGCCCAAAGAAAGCATTTCCTTCAAGCCTTGCTTGACTGATCTCTGCCTTCCCATCTCCTTCCCTTGCTGTTTGCCCTTGCTGGGCAGGGAGGATCACCCATGCCCCTCAAAAGTCAATGTCTTTTGAGGTAGCGCTCATCTAGCCCGGGCCACAGGCCTGGACTGCTTTGTTTTCATATGTTCAGGAACAGCTGCTACCCCAACTTCATCACCACCCCTAGCCAGAAGTTCAGCATGCTGCCCTTGGGAGCAAAAGCCTAAAACGAGGGTGGGGGAATGTTGTTGCCCCTCGTTCTGTAGAGGTAGCAGAACATCTGTCAGCCAGCCGTAGTTTACGTGGATGTACATACCCAGCCATGACCTAGTCCCTCTTCCTCCTCTCTGCCAATTATTGACTGGCCTTGGTAGAGAGGGTAGCAAGAAAATGCCTGCTGTAGTCATGGGGACTAACCCCACTCCCAACCCCCGGGTGCCAGCCTAGAAGATACGGCTTGTTGGGAGAGAGTCAAGGCTCAGAGACCTGATATGAAGCCTGGTAGGTTTGTGCTTAGTTGTTAAAGGCCAGGTAATTTGGCTCAGCTGGGGTAGCCAGGGCCTCCTGCTGGTGGAGTGAGGGGGCAGACAGTGGGCAAGTGGGAGGGAGAATGGTGGGTGTCTGCCATCCTTGGGATGGGGAGACAAAAGAACGGTTTCAGAAATGGTGTCCTTCCTGGCCTAAGCAATCCATCAGTTTGTTGTTGGCCACCCCCTCTCCAGTTAGTTGCCTTGAAAGAAATCTCAATTTTCCTATTTTTTTGTCACGTAAAAGGATGATTGTCAGTAGTTAACAGTGGATTTTCACAAGCAAGGGTTCAAAAGCAGGAATTAAACTTAGCTGAAGTATTGTTAGTCTTGTGTATCTGCTGCTATTGATCAAGGTTTGCTAAAAGTAGTTAACTAAAGTCTTATGTTTTCTTTTTGCTAGTAAAAATCATGGGAAATACTTTAACTTAAAATCCTATAAGGCTCTGGGCAGTGGTGGTGCACGCCTTTAATCCCAGCACTCGGGAGGCAGAGTCAGGAGGATCTCTGTGAGTTCAAAGCCAGCCTGGTCTACAGAGTGAGTTCCAGGACATCTAGGACTGTTTCATAGAGAAACTCTGTCTCCAAAAACCAAAAAAAAAAAAAAAGAAAAAAAAAGAAAAAAAATCCTTTAAGGCTTTTTTGGGACAGTTACTAAAATTAAGTTTTTCAGATTTTAATCTCAGCATACATCTTTCAGATTCTTTCCTTCCATAACTGTTCCTAGACTTTTAGGAAAGCCTGGTTTTTAAAATAGAAATTTCTTACCCTAATAGCAATAATTCTTTACTGCTAGTATCCCCAATGTCACCCATTAATCTAACACACACACACACACACACACACACACACACAGATTTCAGCCTGGTGTGGTGGATGTCTATGATCTCAGTAACCTGGAGGCTGAGGCAGCTGGATTACAAACTAACTAGCCTGCTCCACACACAGGACCTTCTTCCAACAGTTTAATCTTCCCTTCTGTCTAGAATTTATCTTGTGACTTCAGTTCGTATACAAATCTCATTGCAAAATTATCCAGGGGGCTGTTTTGAATGACCAGGGTAGTCATCTAGACAGTCTACTTTCCCCTCTTGGTTAAAACTCACCTGCCCTCAGGTCTTTGACCTGACCCTGACTTGAGTGGGGGAAGGAAGAGAAGGGGTGTTCTTCATTCAGGACCTCGGCTGGTGCCTGCTTGTCTCTTCTCTGTTCTTATCTCCAGTGTTCCCAGTGCCATCCCAGGGCATAGCTCAGGGGCTTGCCTACATTTCTGACCTTCTATACCCAGAGGGAGAACAGCTGGCCTTTTTTGTTTGTAAATACAACAAGGTGTCCCAGAGACAAAGATGAGGAGTGTTAGATTTATAAAATTGATAGGTCTTAAGCAAGAATTCCAAGCCTTAATGGCTTAATTACAATGCAGACAAGAAAGGTAACTAAAGACAGGTCAGAGGCATCCATGGAGTTTCTCCTTGATCTTCAAGATCATCAGAGCTTCTTATCTTGTAGGAAAAGGTGGTCATTAAAGAGCCAAGAAATTCCTGTAGATACTCAGAACCTGTAAAACTGGATAGCTATTCTCTTGAGAGACAGTTCCTGGCATAGGGAATATGGCCGAAAGACAAGTCACTCTATAACAGGCCAGCCTGCTTGGCTATAGCAGATAGTGTGGGAGGACAGGGAAGGACTTCAAGAAAGAACTAGCCTGGAAGGAAGGCCTTAGGGGGTTCTGCTAGCTTGCCTGGGAAGGACAGGCTCTCTGACTTGGGTACCACAAGATCAGAAGCCCATTTAGGTAGGGACAGTCTGAAGACTGCTCAGTTAAAGTGTGGTTCCCAAAGGCATATGACCTTGAGACAACCTAGACTTCCTCTGGGGCCTGAGCAAGCCCCAGGCTCAGGTGCTGAATATTGATTGACAGGATGATAGGAAAAAGTGGCAGCCTCATTAGGATCCACTGCCATGGTCCCCACCGCAGCAACTCCCCTCTAGGAATCCTATTATGGGTGGTATTACCAACACCTATCAGCTGGCTCTTACAAAGCACTTTCACATATATTAGCTCCACCCCTGCAGTGCCCGGCAGCCAATGGGTGGAGAATTTATGACTCGGAGGTCCTGTGTTCATGATTTATACTCTGAAATGCTTTGAGTGTAAAAGAATTGGGAAGGTCATGGAGCTAACTGGGGATGTATTTGCCATTCAAGCAAGCCCTGTGAAGGCCATGCCTAATTTTCCATTCCTGACTTACATACAGGTTGAAAGACAATAAGCAGGGGAAATGTTATTTTTATTTTTTCCTTAGTGCAAGGAACCCAGCTTGTTGTGGTTTTACATGTACTTAGTAAGCACTCAACCACTGAACCACACCCCCAGCCTTAGGAAGTATATTCTCAAATAAATAAAGACTTAAGAAATCTGTTAGGCAATTACACTCAACAGGACATAGGAAAACAGGTAGAAATTCATTGGCATATATGTGAGGACATTTTATTTAGAAGATGCCCAATGCTTCGGATATGGCCAGACTGACTAGGTATATGCCATCATGCTTGGCTTCCATTTTCTTGGACTTGTGCAGGAAGTTCAGGGAAAGCCTGGCCCTTTTGTACATGGTAGAGTAAGTTTTGGATAAAACTGGCTCTTTACTACAAAGGCGGTGGCCATATAGTACTTGTACAAAGATGGGGTTTGGCTAGGAGGGCCTGATGGGAAGATCTTTTCAGGGAGCTTTCCTTTCACACTGTAAGAAGTAACACTGCGTTGTTGGATTACAGGTGGCTCCTACCTGTAATCCCAGCACTTGGTGAGTGAGAAGACTGAGGCAGGAAGATTGCTATGAGTTTGAGCTGGCCTGGGCTACACAGTGGGACCCTGTCTCAATAAAACTAGGTCTATTAGGTTTATATCGTGATCAAGCAGAGGGTTACACATACTCCCTTAAACTGACACACTTTAAAAACACAGCACATTCTGCTACTCAGTTTGCTTCTTTGAAGTCTGGGTCATGTCCTCAGATGTACACTGGAAACGCGCGCACGGGTCTGTGCACGAGGACGGTAGTAGCAGTACTCTTTGGGATCTCTTTTGTGACAGGTCTTATAGCCCACCCCGGGGAAGCCAGCAGAGTTCCCAAGGGAAAGGCCATGGGAATGGACAGCAAAGGCCCCTGACAAGTCTGGCATCAAGACTGGCTGACCCCTGCCCTTGACCTTCCTGTGAGACCCCAGGTGGCTTCTTTGTTCTGTGTAACCCTGGCACTCGCATCCTACAGTGCCGTTTGGCACATAGGAAGTATCCCCATTTGGGGCATCATCCAAAAGGCTCAACAGAGGCATGGCACATGAGGCAAGGACTTAATGGTTTCTTCTTCCTTGCAGGTGACAGCTTACTTCTGCACAACCCTCATTTTGTCCTCAAACAGCCACAGCTCCCCAAAGCCAGCCGCTCCTCTCCTAAGGTGCCTCTGCCATGCAGGCAAATCAGTCTGTCAGAAACTCCAGTGCCAGGGGAGGTTAAGCACTTCTTACTGACTAGGAACGGGAGGCTCGGAGGTTAGAGCATGGCGATAGCAGGATGCACAGTGGATGACAGGGAAGTCTGGGATATGACCTGTCTGCAGAGCCCGTGTCCTTTGTGGATCTTCAGGCTGCCTGGAGCCTGTACCCTTTCCATAATGGGAAGGGTGGGTATGTTTTCCTCAGGTGCTGTCTGGAGGGTCCTGCTATTGTGCCTTGGAATCTGGGTTCCAGTGGGCTGCCACACACTTTATTTTTAGGTGAGCCTGGTTCATCCTGTCTCCTGGGTGGGAAGCCTTTTGCCAGGAACCACTGGTAACTTCACCCCTACATTTTTTTCTTTAAATTGCTTAAATGGCTGTGAATAGGCAAAGAGATGTTTAAAAACTTGAAATCTTACAGAAGTACACAGAGGGTCAATTGGTCTTTATTGATGGAGGTGTTAGGCCAGTCCTCTTTCACTAATGGGGACCGTGGACTTCAATTTGTTGGCAGAGACCAAGGGCTCATGGTGACAGACCTTTATTGTTCCTTCATCTCTCAGATTCTCATCTCTACCCCTTTGGATTTGCTTTAAGAAAAAGGGTTTCTGATGGGAGGGGGGTGTCCTGCCCCTTGGGTGTTATGGCCACTGAGATCATAAACACATCCTTGGCTGGCAGCACCAGGTCTGCAGGCTTCCCCCCTCTGGAGGCTGGTCACTGTGACTCAGCAGGAAGGACTCTGACCACAGAGATATCCTTTTATATCCGGAGGGAGCAAGCAGAGGGCAAGCAAAGCCTCCTCCGGTCAGAGAGGAAAAAATGGGTGCCCTGCTTTAGAAACCCTTGTGATGTGGCCAAGAGATTTCTCCTTTCTGTCAGGAAGCAGTTTTCCAGGGTTGGAATTTAGGAGCCAAGCACTTGACTAACTGGTCACATGTCAGCCCTTTGGCAGTTACTGTCAACAGCTGGAGGACATAATGCCAGTGGTGCCTTCTAGCAGGTCCAGGCACAGGGTAAGAGCTAGATTTCAGCCAGTTGTATGGGTCTGTCCATGAAAGTGGTTGATCCCCAACATGTAGGCTGTGTTGAGGTGCTATAGTTTCTGGTCCTGGAGGCCACTAGAACATGAGAGCTGCTCTCTGTCCCTCCCTATGGCTGCCCTTAGGCTCAGTTAACTGGCACTATCAATTTGTTACAAAACCCTTCATCAGAGGCTGAGCTGATAAACTTTGCAGATCTCATCCACACTCAGGTCAGAAAATCCTTTCTTGCCTTTAACCTGTGTGGCAGAAGGGGTGTGATGGAAGCCGGTTTCCTCTTGTTTGTGGCCCTGTTGGTAGACACACTGCAGTTGGTATCTGCTCCAACTCTAGACTCTGAAGGGCTCAGGTCAAAGTATTCTTAGCCACCACCGTTGTGGTGTCCCTGCAACCCTCCCCACTCCCTCCGCTGACACTAGTGATACCAGATGGGAACCCTCACCAGGCCAAGGGCAAAACTGGCTGGCTGCCTAAGTGCTTGTGGGTCCCTCATTGCACGTGGTACCCTAGAGAGTCCCTCTGGCATATCGTTGTATCCTTTGTGTATTTTTATCTCAAATTGAAGCTTTAAGGAAGTCCCCAGCATCCTTCCAGCCTCTATCCAGTCCTCTGACCAACCAAACCTCTCTGAGAAATGCTGGGCAGTCATTATCTCTAGACCCACAGCGCCACCTAGTGGCACACACCGAGCCAACAGCTCTCCTGGTTCCTCATTCCTACTGGTTCAGTGGCTCCACTAACCCGAACCACTTTTCTTTGCAGGTGGCTACGAGAGGTTTTCTTCTGAGTACCCAGAATTCTGCTCTAAAACCAAGACCCTGGCAGCCATCCCACCACCTGTGCCCCCCAGTGCCACGGAGTCCTTGGACCTGGGCTGCAGCTCTTGTGGGACCCCACTGCACGACCAGGTAGGTGTAGTAGTACCCTGGGCAGAGTTCAAGTCAGGCAGTGCAGGAGAATACGAAGGAGCTTTGTTTTGAGAGTTCTGGGTTTCAGGTGTCAAACACAGCTCCTTAATTTGAAGACAGTGTGGTGACCCCCGAGTATCATGGTGGGATTTTAGGTCAGGTGTATTTATTGCTAGGAATCCTTTCTTCCATCTCTCTTATTATCCCCAAGTAAGGAAAAAAAAAACCCATAAAGATACTTCTGGCTTACCTAGACTCTATTTTGTTTTGAGACAGGGTCTCCCTTTGTAGCCCATGCTACCCTTGAACTTGTTATTCCCTACCTCAGATCCTCGGTACTGAGATTACAGGCATGTACCCATCATGTCTGGTTTCTAGACCCCAGAGATTTGAGTGGACAGTAGAAAAGGCCTGCTTAGGCCCATCGTATAGGGATCTTGGGGGAAAGGGTGAGACCTTGGGATAATCGCTAGGCTCCCATGACAGCCAAGCTTTCCCTCATTTTTCCAGCAAGTTATACCAGTGGACTTCGAGTGCCAGCCATGCTTCTAAAAACGTCAGCTTGAGCCACCACATTTCCTTCAAGCCCATGCCCATCCACCCTTCCAGTCAGATGGCCTGGGGATGAAGTCAGTTCATCATTTTTGCCCATAAATCTTATCACATGTAGGATATCATGCCTCCATGTGACATCTCCTCTCTGGGTTAATTGAAGACACGGCAGACCAAACAGATCCCTAAACCACATGACACACACATAGTTCAATAATTCATTAGCAGGGTAAACTCCCTGTGTGGCTGAGTGTGACACACAGTCAGTGTGCTGCCTCGGTTGTCAGGGGAAGCTGGGTGGTACCCAGGAGACCTGATCATACCTTGCTTCTGCCCACTGGAGTCCCACTGAACCCAAGCTTGGAAGGAAGAGCCAGAAAAGCTTTACCTATCAGGTTTCTTCTGCAGGCCCCAGGAAGCCCCTTGGGCTGTCTTAAGTGTCTCTAGAGCTTCATTACTTCAGCCCTCGTCCTGGTTGCCAGACACTCATGTTTTACTGAGGTCTTTGTTTCTTTTTGGTGTAGGGTGGTCCTGTGGAGATCCTCCCTTTCCTCTACCTCGGCAGTGCCTACCATGCTGCCCGAAGGGACATGCTTGATGCCCTGGGGATCACAGCCTTGCTCAATGTGTCCTCAGACTGCCCCAACCACTTTGAAGGACATTATCAGTACAAGTGCATCCCGGTAGAAGATAACCACAAGGCCGACATCAGCTCCTGGTTCATGGAAGCCATCGAGTATATCGGTAGGCTGCCTATCCTCTCTCAGGGTAGTGAGGGGAACCCCAGGGAACAGTGGATAGGGATTTCAGGTATTATGTTCAGGCCAGGACACTCCCCTTGTATTGCTGTCACCATATATTTGATGCAAAGCAACGTAAGGGGATGAATTGATTCTGGCTCGCAGTTTAAGAAGGATGTAGTCCATCACGGTAAGAATGGCCTGGTGCCAGGTGAATGAAGCAGTTGTCACATTACATCCACAGCAGGGAAGTAGAGAGAGCTTGGGAAGTGGGGCCAGGTTACCAGACCTCAAAGCCTGCCCCTAGTTAACCCATTTATTTCTCCAGCATGGCCACCCTTCCAGGTTTCATGCCTTCCCAAACAGCTAAACCAGCAACACTCAGTTACAAGAGCCTGTGGGGATTCCAATCAAAATACCCCCCTTCAAGGGGGCACTTGTGTGTGGTGGGAATTGGAAGCCATTACATGCCTGGCTGTCACCTCTCTTCATGGTTCCACATGTGTACAAAGTAAGACTTTTGTATGGAGAGGAAGACAACAGTGGATTTGAGTCCCTGTTCTCTTTGGTCTAACAGGTTCTGCCGTGTGATTTGCTTGGGTGTGTGCTTTAAAAATACTTTTGTTGTTGTTAAGTCTAGAAAATACTCCAGTGGGGGCCTCAGTCTAGCAGGGCTGTCCGTTTCCGTGGGTGGGCCCCCAGTGTATCTTGTCTTCCCACTCCCGTGTCCTGGCTTCTGCCACATGCCCTGGCGGTGGTGCCCGATGTCTGCCAAGGGCCCTAATCGTGTCCCACCCTGCCCTAGATGCAGTGAAGGACTGCCGAGGCCGAGTGCTGGTTCACTGCCAGGCGGGCATCTCCAGATCAGCCACCATCTGCCTGGCCTACCTGATGATGAAGAAGCGCGTGCGGCTGGAGGAGGCTTTCGAGTTCGTCAAGCAGCGCAGGAGCATCATCTCGCCCAACTTCAGCTTCATGGGGCAGCTGCTGCAGTTCGAGTCTCAGGTGCTCACCACATCCTGCGCCGCCGAGGCTGCTAGCCCTTCCGGGCCCCTGCGGGAGAGGGGAAAGGCCACCCCCACCCCCACCTCGCAGTTCGTCTTCAGCTTCCCGGTGTCTGTGGGTGTGCACTCGGCCCCCAGTAGCCTGCCGTACTTGCACAGCCCCATCACCACGTCCCCCAGCTGTTAGGGCTGGTCTCTGAACACCAAGTCCAGGGTCGGCCCCCAGCCAGGGATGTGCAAGCCACATGCGAGCAGCAAGTAGGGACTGACCAGTGGGGGTGGCGGGGGCAAGTGACCACGCTCTGCCCCATCCATTTCTCCTTGGCTAACCACAGGGCCAGCTAGAATGGCAATAACGACTTCGATTACACCTTAAAAGCAAACAAACAAAAACACTCCAACCTAGAGCAATAACGGCTGCGGCCAGGGAAGACTGGTTTATGTGTCGGTTTTACTTTGCAGGTAGAAATTTACCTCATTTTTTTTTTTTTAAAGTGGTAAGGCTTGAAGTTATGAAACCCACAGATCCTGGCAAATGTGCTCAACCAGTTTTATTATGTGGAGAGGGAAAGTTTGCTGGGAAGTGCCTGGCTGTGCGCTTGTTCTTCTATTGTATTTACAGGAATTTTGTTCTAGATATGTCTAGGCCACAGTATTCACTTCTAATTAGTCGCCAACTGAATAATTATGCCTAATGAATATTTGAGAACTTCAGGATGTATGAGCAGGAGCCTGGTGACATGGATTTGGAATGTATTTCTGTTGAAGTCACACAGTAGAGTACAGGAACACGCAGGTGTGCTAGCAACGAGGAAGTGAGTGGTTGTCTGGGCTTTTGCCAGTCAGCATTGTCACCATCTTGCATTGTTGCCGCCTAGAAGCTGGCTGGGCAATGTTCGGAAAAAGTCTGTGGTTGGTTTCTTTTACAGCTGGTTCCTGAACACAGTGACCCAGCCATGCAAGCTTTTCTCCAGTAACCCATTTGGTGGTGGCTAGAGCGTTTTCTTCCAGCTTGCCTAGGATTTGGATATGGTCTGTGATTAATGCCATTTTTAAGAGGTGCTCCTGGAAAACTGGGTGCAATTCAAATTTTCCTTCAGTGAATCACTTGGCAAAGCCCGCATCAAAGCCAGCTCGCTAAAGATGAACGAAAAGTGAATTATTTTGTAAGTTGAAGTGTACTAATCTCTCTCTCTCTCTTTGTGTGTGTGTGATAAATTGGGGTTGTCAGTTTTAGGAATTTACTTGAAGTATACCAAGAAATTCTTGTTATCAACTTCCTGTTTGACAGTGAATACTTTTAAAGGCCCTCTATTGAATAAAAAGATGAGTATCTGCCATGACTTGGGCTCCTTCAAGTATGGAAAGGGGCAAGAACACCGGTGGGGTGGGGGCTGTCTCTTGTGCAGTGCATCCTGACTGACTTGATCATTTGGGGTTCCGACTGGGCTAAAGCCATTTGTAAGGAGCCTTTCCAAGCATAGGAATACGTGTTTTCTGTGATGAAGGCTTCTGTGGGAAACAGTATTGTGAAGTGCTGGAATAGAAGTCACTGCAGACTTGTCAGGAATGAAAGCATGTCCCCCTCCCACCCCCCCTTGAGAGTCTAGATCACACATAAATAACTTCAAGCCTCAATGTCATAACCATGGTAGAATGCTCTTTCCTTATCCAACATCCCAGATAGCCCAGGTTCATTACATTTCCTTCCGTGAACTGTGAACCTGTGTTGGCATGGCTTGTATTGGTGGCCTGTGTCAAACTCTGCCTTTGGGTGAATCCAGAATCCTCACTAAGGAGATGCCCTGCTTCCCTGACTCTGCTGCTTGGCTGAAGGCATGAAGCGGCTGAGCTCCCGGATAGTGGACCCTAGTTGGATGGTCCTACGTTTTCCCCTGCTTCCTGGAAGCTGCTTCATGTTTGCTGAAGACTTAGATTAGGAGTTTTGTAGCTAGACGACAAGTCCTGGGTTCCAAGAATGTAAGGGCTTCTGGAGGGCAGATAAATAGTCTTTAGACGACGTTTGCTTTTTATGAGTGTGTTTGCCAAACGTGTCCTAGTTCCCAGACTGGATCCCAACCACATGGGCAGTAGGAGCTCCAGATGTCTGTCCCCTGCTTCCTAATTCAAGCCTTCTATGACAATGTCAAGGGGCTATTTATAAAGTCATTTTCTTTGTACTTGATAACAGCATGAGACCCAAAACTCTTAGAAAAAAAATAGGACATTGGTTTGATTGAAAAAAAAAAAGAGGGGGGAACCTTAAAAAACAGTTATTCTCTCCCCAGAAGCCTCTTTGATGGCTTGGAATAACTCTAATGAAGATCCTGTCCCAGGGTCAATTCTAAATGGTTAGTTTCAAAAGACAGCATCCTGTCTATGAACTGAGTGCTACTGTTGGGACATTTTTGGATTGCAGAAGCCGTTGACTGTTTGTCAGAGAATGAGGAACACTGCCAATTCTCCCCAGGAATCTTGTCTCATCGATGCATGGGTGTTGCGGGGGGGAGGGGGGAGTCTGAAGGTTGAAGCACAGGTGAGCAGGTGGCAGCAGCTGCCAGCTTCATTCTCCCCTGCTGCCCGTACTTGGCTTTCAGTGAGGTTGGGGAAGCCATGAGAAGTGATTTAGAGCTCTTGGGAAGGTGGCAAGAGGGAGGGAAGACTGGGGGTTGGTTAATTCCAAGGGAAGGGACTGGGCTGTGGACATGAATTTGTGGGAATGATAACAATAGTTGATATTGGTTGTCCATCACAGTCACCTGGGCAACTTTTAAAATGCTCACATCCACATGATCCTTGACCAAATAAAGCAGGACTCATGTGGGTGGGATCCAGACACCAATATGTTATAGTGTATCTAGGTGCTTTTGGTGTGCAACCAGGATTTGGGGATGCCATTGCTTCTGGATGGTGAGATAAATTCCCATGGAGGTGAAGCAGGAGCTACGGCAGGGTTTTGTTTCCCTGGGCCCGTGTGGTCCCATTAGCAACAGCTGGCTGAGGGATGAGGTGGTTTCTTTGGGGGAGCCCCTGCGTGGGACCTGATCTGTGGATCATTGTGAGTGGGCTCAGTTAGTGTCTGGGTGTTGATGTATTTCCTTAAGCTTTGTCTCCATCAAGAAAGATGGAGAAAGTCTGTCTGTTTTGAATCCCTCCTTCCATTGCGCCTGCCCTTCTTAGAGCTCATGAATCATCCAAGAGACTTCAGAAAGATAACAATGCAATACTTGTACCTGTGTAAATAGCCCCATCTTTCTGAGTGGTGTCATTTCTACATTTGGTATGCCTGTCTTTCTGTAGGATGTACATAGTTTAGGGGATTTTTGTTTTTTAGAAGTCAAACATGTCTGTTTTTATTTATTGCTTGAAAAAGATCATTTGAAGAAAAAATAAATACATTTTCAACCGTTTTTGCTTTTGTGGACTCTCATTGGAGCACATCCTGCTTTGGGAAGGGAAGGACCTGGGACCTCAAGCAATCAGAAAACAGTGTCCTGAGAGGTGAGAGAGGGCTGGTTACTAGCAGTCAGAAAGAGCCATGGTAAGTAGTAGAGGGTCTCTCCTGCAAGGACCTATTGCAGTGAGTGTAGGATGGTTCAACCGAAGAGGCCAGTTTTAGCATGAAAACATGAGCAAAGAGGGCTGTAATAGAAAAATGTGTAAGGAGTTTCTACACAAGGAGGTCCAGGGTCTGAGGCAAGAATTTGAGGCAACAGTACTGGCTTTCAGTCTGTCAGGATTATGCAAATAAGCAAATATGTTTCAAGGCTAAGGTGAAACAAATAAGCTAATGTCTGTAAAGAAGCATGGTGCTGGGAGACAAAAGATCATCCACACTATTTTTTATCAGATTCCATTGGTATGGCTTTCCCAAATTGCAAACTGAGTAGTAAAAATACTTTCCCACTGTTTCATAATTGTTTAACATCCTGGAAACGGTTAAATAAAATTCAGTTATTACAAGATTGTGAAAAAAATTAAGTTCTGGCTGGGTGGTGGTGGCACACGCCTTTAATCCTAGCACTCTGGGAGGCAGAGGCAGGCAGATCTCTGTGAGTTCGAGACCAGAGTGGCCTACAAGAGCTAGTTCCAGGACAGTCTCCAAAGCCACAGAGAAACCCTGCCTTGGAAACTGTCCCCCCCCCCCAAAAAAAATTAAGTTCCTTATACAGAAATGCCAAGTGAAACAAAATAAAAAATAAGATCCATTTTTACAATGATGATTTAAAAGATAAAATGCCTACAATAAACTGTTAGGAATAGGCACGATGTATATTATGAACAAGAGATGACATGTTTGTGGGAAACAGCATCTACTATGTTCGTGGATAAGAGTAACAATTTATAAAGTGACAATCTTATCAGCAGGATTTGGGGAAGAACATATTTCCTTCAGAGGGATAAATACATGGGAACAAAACTAACTCCAGGGAGGGGATGAAGGTAGAGCTGTCTTAAGTCTTGTTTTCTCACTGCTCTCAGTACACAGAATGCTATCTCCGCATGAGATGAACTGGTTGGAGTAGCTAACCTAGGACTCTTACTATCTATCTCATGAACCTTAAAGATGTGCATTTACGTGACCTCTTTAATAGCAGGGGGTGGGGAAGAGATGCAGACTTTGTGGTGGAACAAGAGAAACATGTCAGTTTTGAGGCTGAGGGATGTTCCTGAATGGAAAACAAGCCCAGCAGATGTCCTGGGGCTGTCCAGTTGGGAAGGGAGCTCCTGTAGGAGAGACAGTTGGTAGGGAGGGAATAGATGGGTAAGTAAAATCAGCTGAGCAAGGGGCTAAAGACAAGGCAAAAAGGCCAGTTTCCCCAGTATTGCTATGAAGAGCCTTTAGGAGCAAACCATCACCACTGAGTGCTTGTTGTCTAAAGGATGCCCCAGCCCCAGGATCCAGGATCCAGGGTCCAGGCAGCACAAAGTCTCATGTGGAAAAGCCCACCTAGCCAGATAAAGCTCCACAAGCCCTATGACCTGAGTCAGGTCTCTGGATCTCAAGTAAAGGGCAGGAGAGAACCAACTCCACAGTTGTTCAACACAATTGACCAAACTGCTGCAAGAGCACATACAGTAAGAAATATACACTCAGAAGAAACGTCTTGAACAAGACTACTAAAACAGCTAATGTACCACGCTTAGGGTAAAAAATGTGTCTGACTTTCTTCTGACCTTCCAGTCTGTCAGTACTCTGCTCATCCATAAAACCAAAATGCTCCTCATAAAATACTGCTGCTTTGAGCTTCTCTAATCTTTAAACTCAGTTATCAACATAGATAATATCCTGTGAATGGCGTGCTTCAAAAGCCAACACGGTCATGTAAGAGCTCTTGGGGACTTCAGTGTGCCTCTTTAAACCTGCACCCACCCACTCTACCCTCTTCCCGTCTTCCAACTCTTTCCTGTGACGAGGTCAGGATCCCTGCAGCACCCGAGTCTCGGGGAACTCCTTAGACCTATTAGCCTATAACACGGAGTTGCTTGAAGACATGGACACTCAAAGCATGTCGCTTGTACCACTGTTACCACATCATACACCACTGTATCATATTCAAGTGCAGCCATTAAACAACCTTGGCAGACACTTAATGGAGTATAGTGTTCACAGAATTTGCCTTGGGATTCTGAGAGTTTAGTGGTATATAGTACACCCTGGTTTCCTCCATGTTTGTCCTCTCCATAGCCCACAGTTCTGACTCACACCAGTTTCCTCATACTTGATTTTTTGTTTATATGCAGAATTAAAGTAAAGCTGATTGGCTGGCCCTTCTGTATAAATCAGTCCTATGCCAGGCGGAGAATGTCAAGAATCTTAATAAACCTCAGAGAAACAAAACCAACATGCTCCACAGCCACGGACTTAGCTGAAGCAGTTATAACTTTGTTACTGCCAATAGATGTGTGTGTTCCTCTGGCAGGTGTTACAATTATAAAATTAGAGGTGTGAACCAGGCTGATGATAAAGGTTTAAAAACACTCTTTAAGTGTAACATGCTGGCTTCAACCTGACACACTTGGGCATAGCCACTAAGCACTGTAAGCAACAGCAGTTAAAAAAGTTCACACTGGGGTATCTATCACTTCACTGGAACAAAGTGCCTTCCTAGATTGTGCCCGGTTGTAAGGTCAACTCTGATCACACTCCCTTCTCAAAATTGGTGGCAAGGAAAATGCGTCTATCTATATCCATGGGATTTGTTTTGGTTATAATTTCCTCTAAAAAAAACCCAAATCTGGTATGGCAAGTGATTTAAAAAAAAAAAAAAACAACAAACAACACACAAATATGTATGCATTCGTGTGTGTGAATGTCACATGTATTGATAAGAAGCGGTGGTTTGAATGAAAATGGCCCCCATAAATCCATGAGGAGTGGCACTATTAGGAGGGGTGGCCTTGTTGGAACAGGTGTAGTGTTGTTGGAGGAAGTTTCACTGGGGCATGCTTTGAGAACTCAGATGCTGAACCATGCCCAGTGTAGCATCTCTTCCTGCAGATCTAGATGTTGAATTTTTAGTTCCTTCAACAGCGCCATGCTTTCCACCATGATAATGGACTTAACTACTGAAACTGTAAACCAGCCCCAACTAAGTGTTTTTTCCTTTGTAAGTGTGGCCATGGTCATGGTGTCTATTTACAGCATCAAAACCCCTAACTACAACAGAAGCCAATCTCAAGTGTTAGTTTCCACCTTCTACCTTGAGGCAGGGTCTCTTGTTTTTTGTCCCATCAGCTGCCTTGTGAACTTCTGGGGATTTACCAGTCTCTGTTTTCTGTCTCCTCTTGGGAGCACTGGTATTACAGACATACTACTGCTTTTACAGGGATCCTGGGGGTTAGCAATCAGGGCCTCACAACAGCCTAGCGAGTGCTTTTACTTACCCCATCCTCTGTCCTAGAAACTGATTTCTGCCTCCCTCCCCATTTCTGTCAAGCCACCGCTTATAGTGAGTCAAGCTATAAAAGCGTATGTCCTGAGCTGTTGAAATTCCAAGCTGTTTCCTTCATGTTGTACTTGCCACCGGTGTATAGTTCTGATCGCCTCTATGTTCTAACAGGAACCAAAAGAACAGTCTCTCAGGGAGCTGTGAACATTTTGAAACTGCTCTTCAGGATGACACCGATGACACATGATAACAGACGCACAGGCTGTTTCATTCCTACATGGGCATCTAAATATCACATATAATCAGGGACCCACACACAGCAGCTGACACGTAGGCTCTGCAGTGAAAGGTATTCTGAGATATACATTATTTTTGCCTCATTACCTTCAAGTTTAACTGTGAAATGGGGATTAAAAAGATTTTTCAGGGTTGCTTGGTTAATGACACATACATAGAGCATGAAGAGAAACAAATGGCAAACAACAACCCCCATAAGAAAAAAACAAAAATATTCCCCACCAAAAAAACCCCAAAAACCAGAAAGCAAAATTTCCAGACTTTAACTACCAAGCCATGATCACTCAGAGCCGGATACCACCATACACAAATGGCCAGTCTCCAGGGAAACAACTCCTGCTGTAAAATTTACCACCTAGTACGAAGTTCCCTGGTCCACCTGGATATGGGTGTAAGAGCTAGTGACTTCCCATTACACAAGCACGTCCACACACTCCGTCAGCTGACAATCTCTATTGCTTCTCTACAGCATTTCAGTAAATTCCTCCTCTTCGAGAGCCCTTGGTGAACTCTCTAACTACCAGTTTGCCTTTCAAAAATCACTGTGGGCATCTTACAGTCTCAGGGTGACTGGAGTGCTCCTAAGCACTTAATTTATGTTTTTAACTGATAACCCTTCTGGTAGAAAAGGCATGGATGCACACCTAGCTTCAAATTTGCTACCTAAAGATCACTAGCTGGAGAAAGAGCACCGGTGAGAGATGGGAAAGTTCTTTGCTTCTTGGGGACAAGATGGGTAGGTCATACCACGAAAACCAGACTGGCCTGAAACTCATGATCCTCCCACCTCAGCATCCTAAGTGCTGGGACTGCAGGTTAGTACATCATGCTCAGCTGTGTGAGATCTTGAATGTTCCCCAGGCATGCACAGAACTATTCTCCTTCGACCCTCCTGGCTGGGTGGGCCTATGGCACTGAAGTTTAAGTTTAAGTAAACATGGCTCTCTGTTTAAGAGGTTTTTCTGAAGTTTCTCCTGCTATTGCTGTGTTTCACTAGCTCCCTGTGGGCTTACTGCTCTTGCAGTATTTCTACAGCTCCTATGTGGGTGCACAGGTAATAAGGAACTTCAAGCTGCATCTCACTAGGAAGTGGGGTAGGAAGTGGGGGAAGGAGAATTGTTACATGAATTTTGACAGTTTTAGGTCAGCCGTGCTGCGGATAGTCAAGCCAACATGAACAACACAGGACAAAAGGAAACACAAGCTGAATGCTTTACACA